ATTAGTTCTCTTGCTTACTGTCTTTGTGACCTTGGACAAACATCACTTAACCTCTCTGGAACTCAGTTTTCTCATTTGTAAATGACAGGGTTGGGCTAGATGATGTTCAAGGTCTCTTTCAGCTAGGCATCTATGATCCCACGAACAGAAACACAAATGCCAAAAAGATTACACACATATGAAAACGCACACAGACACCAAACACATCAATAATCCTTGGGCAGGGCTCAGTTTCTCAGAGAGGTATCTTGTGGCAGTGGAGGGTTGAGGGGAGAGTCAAGTTACAAAACTTTGTGGAATAGAATTCTGTCCTAATTTTATTTTTATATGATATTTTATTTTCCCCCAATTACATGTTAAAACAATTTTTATAACTTTTTTTAGTTGAGTCCCAAATTCTATCCCTCCTCTCCCCCTCCTTCTCCCTCCTCCTTGAGATAGCAAGCAATTTGTCTATCCTAGTTTTAAAGTAGACTCATGCCTTTTCCCCCTTTCCCAATTTATGGAATCATAGGTCCACATTTATTAAAACAGTGAAATATTTGAGAAGAATCTTAGAAGGATCATCCAATTTCTGAAGCACATACTTGGAGTTTTACTGACAATGAATACACTTGGATTTAAAAGAATGAAGTCAAGATCGGTGGTTAGTAGAGTGGTCACAAAAATACATCCTCCCCTCCCCCCAATCAAGCAAACAAGAAGACAAGAAGTATTTATTGCTTACTATTTGCAAAACACAGAGGTATTAAAGGAGATAATTCTCTACCCTAAAACTGGTTAAGCTGATATTCAACCAACAAATCACTTAAGCAAATAAACATTTATGAAGTATTTATTGTGTGTCAGGCCCTAATGGTAAGTTCTACAGAAACAAGGAAAAAGTAAACACAATCCTTGGCCTCTGGGAGCTTACATTCTAATGAGGAGAATGATATCAAACAATCAATTAATAAGCATTTATTTACAAGATTGCACATGTATAACCAATTAGATAATTGCTTACTGTCTCAGGGAAGGGAGAAGGGAGGGAGGGATAGAATTTGGGACTCAAAACTTTTAAAAAATGGTTTTAAATTGTTTTAACATGTAATTGGGGGAAAATAAAATATCATATATTTTTAAGTTAATAAACATTTATTAAGCACTTACTATGTGTCATATGGGCAACTAGGTGGCTCAGTGGATAGAGTGCAGGGTCTGGAGTCAGGAAGACTCTTCTTCCTGAGTTTAAATCTGGATTCAGACAACTACTAGTTGTGTGACCCTGGGCAAGTCACTTAACCCTATTTGCCTTAATCCAATGGAGAAGGAAATGGCAAACCACTCCAATATCTTTACCAAGAAAAACCCATAGGAAGTTTTGGCATGCTATGGTCTGAGAGCTGGACATAGCTGAACAACAACAACATATAAGGTAACTTTAGGAAGGACTAGCAATATGGGGGACCAAGAAGGACCTCCTACAGGAGGTAGTTGTTGAACTGAGTCTTGAAGGAAAACGAAGTGCCTATGTTTTATTTTTTATCATATCTTTTCTGTTATTTAAAAAGTCATTTCAAAAGTAGGGGAGGTAGTAATTCTGCCCTTCCCCCATTGGAATGGAAACTTACTAAACCAGGTGTTGGATTAAGTCTGTGGAATACCAAAATATCCAGTCAATTGAATCCAAATAAACAGAAATCAAGCAGTTCAAGCAAGAATACAATCATATGCTTTGTTGTTGTTTTGTCTAATAAAACAGCCAACTGACGGATGATTGTTTTTGTACCTTTTAAGCAAACTGCTGTGGCATTAGCAGACTTAATTCCAGGGTTCCAGTCTTTTTTAAGGGATAATTTACTTTTCCTATTAGCCAATCTGGGGTATGTGTGTTGGGAGGAGGAGCTCATACCAGAAAGTTGGTTTTTTTTTTCTGTCATGGGGGAGAGATTTTCAATGTATCTAATGTGCTCTAATATGTCTAAGATGTAAAATGTTTGGTGAGCAAATGACACGCCTTCCCCACTGGCAATTGTCCTATATCTTTGCCCTCTTTCTTGATTAAACTGCTTGAGAAGGCCACATAGTGTCTAAACTTCCTTTCCTCTCACTTTCTTTTAAAGTCTCTACAGTCTGTCTTTCAATCTCAATTTGACCAAAACTACTCATTTCAAAGTTACCCACCCAGTTGCACTTTTTTGGACTGGGCTCCCTCATGTCCCCACAGCTGGGTACCTTCCCTTCCCTTTCATTTGGTATTCTCCTTAACTTCGGGACTCAGCACTCTCTCTTACTTCTTATAGCCAATCTCTTGCCAAGGCTCGTGGATTTCCCTTTTGTAACATCTCTTAAATACATTCGCTTTTCTCCTTGGACATTGGTGCAAACCCTCATCACCCCTCACCTGGACTACTACAATAGCCTCCTGGTTGTTCTACCTGTCACAAGTCTCTCCCCAATCCAGTCCATTCTCAACTCAGCTGTCCAAGTGACCTCCCTAAAGCTTACATACAACCATATCAACCTACCTGAATTTGAGAAACTTCCAGATTTAAATATAAAATTCTTTGGCATTAAGAAACATTCATACTTTTTTGTCCTTTGCGTTTCCATCTTTGTACACCCCACCTCACCAAGTACTCTGTTTCTCAAACAAGACAGTCCATCTCTAGGCTCCAGGCATTTTTTCTGACTGCTCTCCCTCCTTACCTCTGCCTCTTGGCTTTCCTGACTCCCTTCAAATCCCAGCTAAAATCCCACTTTCTAAAGGAAGCCTTTCCTTATCCCCTTAAATGCTAGTGCCTTCCCCCTGTTGAATATTTCTAATTTATCTTGTGTGTAACTTGTTTGTATATGGTTATTTGCATGTTATTTCCCCCATTACACTGTGAGCTTCTAAAGATCAGGGACCGTCTCATACCTTTCTTTTAATCTCCAACACTTAGCACAGTGCCTGACACATAATAAGTGCTTAATAAATGTTTATGGACTAACTTAGTTTGATTTGTTTCCACTTGGACATTATGACTAGGCCAATAGATTCAACTACCAAAACATTTTATACTAAGCATTTTATTATAAAATTTAAAAATTATCTTTATTTTGAAAGTTGGATGAAATTGCAAATGAATAAGCCAGAAGATGGCGTTGAAGATTAACCGTGTTATTTTTAAACAAGGTGCACTTGTGCTGTTTGAAAAGCTTTCCTTTAATGACTGTTGTTTTGTACTTTTGAAAGCGGAGGATGTGGATGTGTGAGGGAAATGATGAAACTGACTAAACCTGTGCAGAGAGGACACGTGTATGAAAGGCTGAAACCCTCTAAGAATGATTTTTGTTCCAAATCCTCTCCTTCCTCCACCTCTGTCACTTTATCAGTATTTTAATGAAAAGGAACTTAATTGATTTAAAAAGAATGGGGACCAAAATTCAAATTACTATAGTGATTCTTTCTGAGCAAAGATGTTATTTCACAGTTCTTGGCAAGTTTTATTATTTTTATTTTTGTTAGGCACCCCTACTAGGGAGGAGTCTTTCTTTGAGATGAAAACTGATTTCCAAGTGGGAATTAGAGTCTGGGGACAGCAGAATACTTGGATAATTTATTCTCCTTCTTTGCTATCTCTGTAATTTAGACTGGGAGGGGCAGTTTGATATATCCAAATACCCTCAATCCACCTTAATTTAGATACAGTAGGGCATGGACATTTGACTTAGTGTATCTACAGTATGAGAGGCAAACTCAAATAGTGGACAGAAGTATGGCTTTGTAGAAGACCTGAGATGAAATCCTGCTTAGGAATGCTTCCTGATCCTGTGACTCCATAGGGCAAGTCACTAAAAAGTTTCCATGCCCCCAGACAACTGTCTAAGACTAATTTACAAAGCAACTGCCAGGCTGTATCAGCAAAAGGAGTTTGCACAGGGATGAAATCATAGGTCCAAACCAAAGAACAAACAAAAAGTGTGTGTGTGTGTATATTATGTGTTCTCTCTCTCTCATACACACACACACACATACACACACACATTCACACACACACACACACAAAAACTACACTACTGATACAAAGTAGTATCAATTTAAACTTAAAGATTTTTTTTTTTTGGATAGTGCTGCTTTCTTACTTCCACAAATAGGTAGGTTTCTTGGTGTCACTTAGAGGCTGCTGTTAGCACTGCTGGTATTATTGTCATCTTCTCCTTCTTCTTCTTCTTCTTCTTCTTCTTCTTCTTCTTCTTCTTCTTCT